AGCATTATTTCCCAAAAGTTAGAAAAAACTTAACCAAGAGAAAAGCTAAGAAAAAAAAAAGGCAAGAAGTTAGGCTCAACAAGAATACACAGATGAAATGTAAGCAGTTTCATCCGGGTAAAAATCATATTTATATAGTTCAATTAAAAGAGTTGAATTCCCTAACAACAGAAACCTGTGAGAGGCAAGGAACGATTCATCAAAAGTCTGACAGACACTTCTAGCCTTTACAGATCCTGTACGCTCAAACCTGCAAAATTAAACAAAAATAAATAAAGATCCCTCCATATATTCCAAAATTATTACTATTTACTACAGCAATTATTAAACAATTGTATGAATGTCATATTAGTAAGTTACCTGGAGGTAGAGATTGCTTGAGCTTATCAGCCTTCTCCGAGTCAAATACACAGTGTGTGTAAAGATACTTTGAACATCTGACCTTGAACTTCACAACCCCTTTGCTCCGTTTGATCTTTACAGAGCGAGCATCCTTCCTTCTAGCTGTGAGAAGGAAATCCTTGATCTCATGGATCTGCTTCGGCTGTGCCAACAAACAAGTAAATTTCAATATCAGAAAACCAGTATTTGGTATATAATTTTGTCTAAAAAGGATTAACTAACTTGTCCACAAGAAAATACAACTAAAATTGATATCTTACTAATGATAGTTTAAGCCGCACATAGCATAGTAACATAAATCATAAATTACACTTATCAACATAATATTTCTTACATATCTTTAAAAAAATGGTAATGCAAATAACAGTGCAGGCATCTAATCCAAAAGCAGTTGATTCCACCAATGCAATAGAAGAGGCTTTCAGTGGAAACAGATTCAGCAGAGCTTATTAGGCTGCAAGGCCAGAAGAAACACTCATTCAACCCAATCATCACCATGAGAGGGGATTTGTCAAAACTACGATATGGACAAGCACATATTTGCCTTCGTGGACCTCATAACGTATGAGCTGTTCCCTTGAGAACAAGATCAACTATGCACCTATTCGCGGCGAGTTTGGCCAGATAACTAGTCTCAACAAGCCTTAACCCTAAAAAGCACTCGTCATAGAAAAACTTAGCTTTCTCAGCTATTCCCCCCATTAATGCCATATGTATTCAAAGAACATCCTATTCCAAGCTATTGGAGGCACAAAACCTATAGAGCCCACGGTCATGGTACCATCAACTATGTTTGTCCTTGGTTCACAGCCACATTCGTCTAAGAGACTTGCCGGTTTTTTGGGGACGCTAACTTCACAGATTTGCCCAAGACATTCACTCTTGAAAACTCGCCCAAGGCAATCAGTAATGAAGAATCAAAGAACTCATCATCGCATTTCAAGCAATGTCAAAGGGAGTATCTCTCATGTTACCTTTCAGCGTAGTCTACGTATTTGAGTCATGGTTTAAAATTGCGCAATATGAGGCTTTCCTTGAGGCCCGCCTTTGCGCAATTCTAGTAAAAAACGCCTCGATGCTTATGCCTCGAGTTTTTTTTATGAGGCTTGCGCCTCAACTTAGTTGAGGCCCGCCTCGCCTCACGCTATATATATTAAAACTTACATAAATCTTGAAGTAAATGCCCGACATTGGACTCTATAGGAGAGGACGAAGGGGAGAGAACAGTTCATCATAATGATGATTCAAATGAAGAACCCCTTAGTGATGACAGTGCTTATGACTTATGAGTTCTTATGTGATATGTCATTGCTATTTATTTTTGGAAATTTGAATTATAGGTTAATGAAAAGAATATTAGGATTTGGGAAAGATAGAATTTTGAGTTGAACTATATTTCATGTTGCTTTATTATTGGGATATTTTGATTTCACTTCATATCTTATGTTTTTTATGTTTTATATTATTCACTCACTAGTATATAAAAAATTTATCATTTTATATTTACGCAATCTTTTGATTTTGAGGCTTACGCCTCAAATCGCCTTGAGGCTTACGCCTCGCCTCACGAATGAAAAACGCCTCAATACCCGTATACGCAATTTTAAACATTGATTTGAGTCATTATTTATTTTTCCTATCAGTTATCATTTTTTAAAATTTTAGGTGTATTATTTCACATAACACTCTTAACCCTATAAATATCTTAACCCTATAAATATATTTCAAACTTTATGTCATTTTAACCGTTCACAAAGATCGCTCAGCTTCTAATCTAGTCTTCACACTCTAATTCATTCATCTTATTCTCTTGCTCTGACTAATTAAATTTGTTAGTAAGGTCAAGTGTCATCCACAGGCAAATTTGAATCAACAATCAACAGAATATCTAGATTAATCCCCTGGGAAGAGCAACACGAACAGACGGTTGGAACGGATATTAATTTTTCAATTCTATTAACACAAGCAGAAGATGCACTTAATCCAAGCAGATTCAATGAACCAAAACAAATTCAACATCCAAAAAATCGATAATAATTCAACGATTATCATCATACCTTAAAAACTCAAAGTCCATATATCATTGATTACGATATGGCTTAACCGATCATTTATCATCAACAGGAATTCTGTTAATCATTTCTAAACACTAATATATTATCAACGAGAACATGTGAAAAAAGTTCATCATCCAATCTGCTTATTCGAATTAAATCTTCGAACATTATCAAAAGCATAAAATAAAGAAAGGATAAATACAACTACATGAAAAAAATTTCGGGATAAAGATTAAATCGAGAAAACACAGTATTGAGTACCATTTCCAAATTCTTCAAGAACTGCTCTCGCTCTGATAAATCCGAGGGTGACGGCGACTTCAAACCCTAACCGATACTGAGGCTCTTATATCGTTCGACACCGAGTAGAAACCCTAATTCAATTTTCTGCAACTTTATGCAAATGCCCCAGATATTTTCCAATATTATAAAATGCACCGCAAATGTGGATTTTCTATGTTTCTCGGACCGGACCGGACCCGGATCCGGATCCGCTATAGCTTAATGGGCTTGATCTGCCAAGTCTCTAACAGGAATCAAGGATATGAAAAACATCAATTATTAATGAATATATTATATAAGCATGTTTTATAATTGGCGTGTGATGAACATTTATGATGATAAAGAAAATACTTGGCTTAGAATTGAATAAAAATCTTGTGACATCAGAGTTGAAATCTAGTTTTGATCATTGATTTGTATTGATGGAGGTCATCGACCTTAGTTGTAACTGTGGGTATCAACCTTGGTGATGGTGACTAGCGGGGGGGATGATGGCCTTTTTGCTAGTGATGATGTGATAGTGTTCAGTATTTTGGCAAGTAAATATCAATGATAGTGTTGATGGTAGGTATGGAAGTTATTAATGATGATGAATATCGATGTTAGTGTTGACAATAAGCACCGACCGAATTTGACAGTGACAATGGTCAAAATTATTAATGATAAAGTCCATCAAACTTGATGGCTACAACAAGCCTCTATGTTGTAGTCGATGATGGTCATTGAATTTGATGTTGATGTGAGGCATTGATAGTGTTTATGACAGAGATAAGGAGTAACTATTTTAAAGTAATTAAGAGTATCAACATTATCGGTGATGGCAGGGGTCAGGGTTGGTGTTGATGGAAGGCATTAACATAACTAGTGATGGAGAATGGCGGCCTTGGCAATGACAGAGGGCATTGGCCATGGTGGTGTGTCAAACATCAAAGTTAGTGCCAATAATAGTCATGAATATTCAACAAGTGTCAACAATGAGTGTCAAAATTAGTATCGAATGCAGGTGTCTACATTATTGATGATGGTGGAAATCAAACTTGGTGGTAAAGCCAGTTGTTGACCTATGCTGAAAGGGACCTTAATCTTAATGGCAATGTTAGGCATTTGTCGGATGGCAATAATTGATCTCAGCCAAAGTGTTGGCCTTATTGTTCGTATTGGGCATCGACCTTCGTCATGATAGCAGATAGAATATATCATGAATATTTTTATCGCTATATAGTAAGTTATCACTTAGAATAGTATATTTTTTTAACAAGTAAATATTCTCATGTAAAGAATCATAAGTAAAAGTGTTAGAAGATAATATATCACCATTCTTAAAATTAAGCTAGCAATTTTTTTTTTCCTTGTATACTTGTATATTAATATTTGGATGAAAATAGTTTAAATTAAGATTGCATGAAAATAAGTTGCTAGAAACTAATGATTGATTCATTTGATATTGCATTACTAAAACATCGTTTTCTAAATTAGAAATAATATTATTTTGATTAATGAAGATATATTATGATTAAATTCAGTATTGCAACCTCTTTCAAGAATTTTATTTCTTTAATATATATATATATATATACACGTCATCACAAAATTAGCTTGATCGGGCACGAATCTCGAGGCAAAAGCTAGTTGGAAACTTCAAAAATTAAATTTGAGAGCATATGAACTCCGATTTCAGCGAGCTTACAGTCAAACTGAGCGTCTCGGAAATACGAATCCAACAACACCAAATTCGACCCAATCCGAGCCCAAATGAGTCCGAATCAAGGGCTCAAAGCACTGTTGGAAGGTTCAAACAGCAATTTGAGTTACCAAACGGTCTCCAATTTTAACGAGCTTATACTCGAATCGAGCGGCTCGACGAG